TTCACATGAATTTCAAGATGGCTTCCAAGAAGACCGGGTGATAGGACTGTTGTCACATTGATGTAGAAGCTGTTCAAGGGGCCTGGCATCCTTCAGAGGTACTATTCCATATCTCTGGAAGAGAAGAGAAAGAGGGAGAGGTCACATGTGGTGGTTTCTTGATTGCAGTGACAAATATATCCTTCTGGTGGTTTCGAAGGTTTGAGCGTTTCATCAATAAATATCCAATCGACAATGATTCTAGGTGCCTCAGTGTAAGATTTATGATTCTTGAAAATCAGAACTGAGTATTTAAATGAATTTTTATGTAACAGCTCTGAGATTTCTCTACAACTGGAACAAAAATTGTTCATTAATTGGCTATAAGAACATGGCTGATCAATTAAAATTCATTTAAATCCATCCATCTTTTTGTATTGTAGAAGGAACTCCAGTTCAGCATTTAAAGCTGAATTGACAACATATGTAGATACAACAAGTTTCAAGAAGGGTTGCAATTTCCATATTTTTGCATCTTACCAAAACCTTGGTAGGATGCAAAAATGATACTAACATTTTTTTTTGTTAAGGCATTGACTGCAGAGTGAGATAAATATATTATTTCAGTATGAAGATAAGCCATCACTTATTTATTATAGAAAAAATTATCTGTGTTATAAAAACACAATGTAATAGCTTCAATAAATTAAGTTACCATTGTCTCTCACTTCTCTAATTTAAAGTTGCCCTTGATGGCTTAAATTATCCTGTCAATTAATCCACTGAAACATTAGTTGATAAAATTGCAGTCTGAAGGGATTAAAATTGCAGCTTCCTTTCTTAGAGAATGAAACTGTATTAAAGTGTCATTTTAATTGCCAGCCGCTAAGGACCTGTGCGCAAAACCAAGCTTCTTGGCTGTGGGGTTGAAACCGTATAATGCCATGCTTCCTTGTGATAGAAAATCATATCTTCTTACTTCCTGTCTACTCCCCGGATCATCTTTCTTGGATGCTTGGATGATTCCTCCTTCTTATCCAAGTCTTCAGGCTCTCCTTGGACATTTCTTCTTGGCTCTTAAGCAAACAGAAGGATGAGACCACGGCCAGCAGTTGGCAGATAACATTATGGAAGCCAAGTCAAGGTCATTAGCAACAGACATTCAGATGGAAATGACCCAAGGACAAATAATAATACTTTTCCAAATGCACCAAGAAGCATCAGCAAACCAGCATTCATTATTTTTTTTTAAAATGTGCTAATTTAGCAGACAATAGCAGATTATAGGATGCTTGGCTCAGTCCTCTACGGTTATGTACAAGTAGCATGTGCTGGGGAGGCAAATCCAATTTATAATTAGCTAATAAATCATACAAGTCATATTGAAGTGCAGGCTTTCTTTATTGGACGGCTGATTTAAGACTTAGCGTAGAGACATATGGCTTCTGGATGCTGGAATAGGAATTTCTGAAAGTCCTAACTGCTCCTGCTGTGAGTGGGCTCCACTGTCTGGGCTGCAGCTGAGGTTTGAGCAGATACCGCTCACATCACTGCAAGGTTGGCGTGCCAAATTGGAAGGGATTGGCAGAGAGTCTACCGGATACATCAGCTCCATTTAAGCCATGCAAAACTGTATCTGGTATATGTTTTTTCTCATGATGGGCAAGATCCAGCCCACAAAAGAGACCCTGGGGCAAGTGGGAGCATCACCTTCCCAGAAAACAGTAGGTCAGGAAGCCCTTAGACCATCAAGTCATCCTGCCAAATGCAAGCTGCCGCCTTTCATCTCTGCTTTCCTTAGAAAGTAATCATATTGTATCTTGTTGGGTCATAAAGAGCTTGATTTATTGAAGCCAATTCGTGAGCCACTAAATCATTTTGGTCAAATAGCTGCATTTCACGGGCTTTCGGCTTTATCCCATTAAAATTTCAACTCTGTAATATGCAATTATGTGTATACTCAAAGTTAAGATATTATTTTCGATGTAGGCAAAAAGGAAGTATAAATTTCTCCCCTTTAATTTGTAATATATTCAGGTTTGACAGTACTAATTTGCACTGCAAAGTAATTTGGACATCAGAAGCATATGTCAACATGAAAAGTAACTGCAGCTGGGTCTCTGGGGAGCCGGGCTTAAATCTGTCTAGTTGCAGATATAGCTGATGTGCTCATCTTCATTTTTGACCCAATAATGATAATTTATGAAACCTGCCTTTTCTTCTCCTGACAATTTGCTCCACTCAGGGAGCAAAGAAATAGGATCATCAGTCTTCTCCCTCTCCCCGGATTTCTTAGCGAAAGGGGAAGTTTCCTGATGAAGCATTTGATTCCCTCATTGTACATAGCATCCTTGCTTTTTATCCTAAGGCAATAAGACATAACACATCTGGAATTTGTTTATTGGGTTTGGTTTTCAGATGTTTGGTGGGTATCTGGGAAGCTTAGGTTGAAGAAAGGTCCTGAGCTCCGTGCCAGAATGTGGGATAGTATTTTGAGTATTTACAAATTCTGATTTCCAGTCCTCCATCATGATCTAAAACCATACTTTGTCAACTCTTCTGAACCAGGAAGTAGTAGTAGTAATAATAATAATAATAATAATAATAATAATAATAATAATAATAATAATAATAATAATAATAATAATAATAATAATAATAATAATAAAGTTGGAAGGGACCATGGAGGTCATCGAGTCCAACCCCCTGCTCAGGCAGGAACCCTACCCCATTTCAGACAAATGGCTGTCCAATCTCTTCTTAAAAACTTCCAGTGTTGGAGCATTCACCGCTTCTGGAGTCAGGTTGTTCCAATGGTTAATTGTTCTAACTGTCAGGAAGTTTCTCCTTAGTTCTAGGTTGCTTCTCTCCTTGATCAGTTTCCGTCCGTTGCTTCTTGTCCTGCCTTCAGGGGCTTTGGAGAATAGCTTGACTCCCTCTTCTTTGGGGCAGCCCCTGAGATATTGGAACACTGCTATCATGTCCCCCCTCGTCCTTCTCTTCATTAAACTCGACATACCCAATTCCAACAACCGTTCCTTACATGCTTTAGCCTCCAGTCCCCTAATCATCTTTGTTGCTCTTCTCTGTACTCTTTCTAGAGTCTCAGCATCTTTTTTACATCGTGGTGACCAAAACTGGATGCAGGATTCGAAGTGTGGCCTTACCAAGGCGTTGTAAAGTGATATTAACACTTCACGTGATCTTGATTCTATCCCTCTGTTAATGCAAATGCATTATGTGCAAATGCACATAATGTGCATTTATGTGCAAATGCACATTTCCACAAAACGTACAAGCCACATGCATGGATTTCTTTATCATATTACCTTCAGCTTCCTTCCAAAGCGGTGATCTACCTCTTCTGTCTTCCTATCCTTTTTTTGGGTTGGAGAAACTCCCTTCATTGCAATCTTAGTCAACGAATGCCTACGGAGATTCTCAATCATCCAGGTCATAATTGTCCCAAAGGTGCTTTTCAAAAGGCAACTGGACTTTCTTGTTTTTTTTCTTTGGAAATGTTTCGCTTCTCATCCAAAAAAAGCTTCTACAAAACTGAAGACGTTTTTTGGATGAGAAGTGAAAGATTTTTAAGGGGGGAAAAAAAGCAAGAAAGTCTGTTTGCCTTTTGGAAAAAAAACACATTTGGGACAACTACAGTATGACCTGGATGATTGAGAATCTCCATAGACATTCATTGGGCTTAGGCAATGAAATTTGCTAAATCCCTGACGTGAAAGCTAAAGGGCCCATCCCTATCTCCTTCCACCTCTGTCTGTCATTTTTACTGACATTTTTGAGGTAAGCTTTGGGTTGTGCAGAGGACAAGACCAGACAATTTAAGTGGTTTGTGATTGACGCCTTCATTGCATTTTTCTCTAATGAAAACCTGGTCCCAGATTTCTTTCTTTCCAACTTGCAAAGCATTTGCCTTGGGTGGACGCTCCACAGCTGCAATATCAAATAAGGGATTGGCCTCATCCTGAACAGGACAAAGTGATTCCGCTTCAATAGGCTGGTCAGATCGGAGTGAAAGTAAAATGAGTCTCCTATTCAGTGGAGCTGCAGAGAATTTTAGAGATCTAGATAACAAGGCCTGGGCTGTAAACCTACAGGGCAATAACAAGCATAACATGACTTTAAAAATAGTTAAATTAAATTAATAATAATAATAATCAGAATAGAGCTGGAAGGGGCCTTGGAGGTCTTCTAGTTCCTAACACTGCAGTAATTTCAGATTATTTGAGACTTCTCTGTGCAAAGAAATGTATTGACTTACATCAGTTCATTCAGTGGCCATTCTAAGGCAGAAGTCCCCAACATTTGGGGCACCAGGGACCGGTTATGTGGAGAAAGGTTTTCAGAGGACCGGAGGGGGTATGGTTTGTGTGCTGCCTGCATCCCGCGGATGGGGCTTTGCTTGTTTGTGCGGACCGGTTTCTGGCATGCCATGGCTCAGTGCCGGTCCACAGACCGGGGGTTGGGAACCCCTCTTCTGAGGTACAAGGCCACTGAAAAAAGTGACTTATGACCGTTTTTTACACTTACAACTGTTGCAGCATCCCCATGGTCACATGATCAAACTTCAGATGGTTGGCAACTGGCATATATTTATGATGGTTGCCGTGTCCCGGTGTCATGTGATCCCCTATTGCGACTGTCTGACAAACAAGGTCAATGGGGAAGCCAGGTTCACTTATCAACTGCAGTGATTCACTTAACAATTGTGGCAAGACAGGTCATAAAAATGGGGCAAAAATTACCTAACTGTCTTGTTTAGCAACAGAAAAGTTGGGCTCCATTGTCATAAGTTGAGGACTATCTGTAGTAATGGCTTAAGATTTCTGGTTACTTGTGAACTAAGCTTCTGTTGAAACGGAGAAGAAGCAAAGTTGAAAAATAATGGCTCACAGCTTCAGTTGGCAGAAACACATAAGGTGTGTCACGGTGACCAAATGTTCTGATATCTCCGAAGCTTGTTCAGGTGGGATGACCTGTTTTCCTTCTTTTTCTCTCCATAGTCTCCCAACGTTCATAACTACCCAGATATGGAAGCCGTACCCCTCTTGCTGAACACCATGAAGGCAGATCCAGAAGAAGATGCCTTGTGCACGGATCATTTCCAGACGCAGACGGAGCCGGTGGACTTGTCCATCAACAAAGCACGATCCTCCCCTCTTGCCACCTCATCTTCACCAGTATCCATCACAGCCTCTGCGCTGTCCCCTTCTTCCACTTCAACGTCTTCTAGTCGGCCAGCTTCGTCCCCAACGGTGATAACCTCGGTGGCATCAGCAGCATCGGCACCATCAGTATTAACTCCAGGTCCGCTTGTGGCATCTGCCTCGGGTGTTGGAGGGCAGCAGTTTTTGCACATAATCCACCCGGTTCCACCTTCCAGCCCCATGAACCTACAGACCAACAAAATGAGTCACGTCCACCGCATTCCTGTGGTGGTGCAGTCGGTACCGGTGGTCTACACTGCGGTGAGATCACCAGGGAATGTCAATAACACTATAGTAGTACCACTACTAGAGGACGGGAGAAGTCATATCAAAGGTAAGAAGATCTCTTACAAAATAGGCTTCTAGAGAAGCACAATGGAAGAAAGCCTCCTGAATCATTCCCATTTACTCATGATTTGAAAACCAACCAAAAAGTCTTCTTCTTCCATGTCTAGATCCAACTTGAAGCTGTCAGAGTGAAGCCACCTTCTTGGCTTTATTGTTGGCCACAAATAAGTCATTATCAGTCCATGTTTCTGGTAGTAACTGACATACCAGCAGATGGGCCAAGCTCTGGGTCTCTTCACATTCACATACTGTAGTGTGTTGTTATCCACTAAGAGCCTCCACTTGAGTATATTAGTTTTATATTTAGGCACTCCAAATCTCAACATAGTCAGGGTCCTCCAAGAAGTATAAGGAAGATCGATTTTTCAGCCATATCTTCCTTCCTCCATCTTTTTATTCAGTTTTGTTCTTGATTCTCAATTTTGTTCACAAACCAAAGATGAATGTGTATTAACTGCTCTTTGGGCCAGTTATTGGAGAGACTAGCTAATGAGCCACACAGATGATATACCAGAGCAGTGATGGCGAACCTTTTAGAGACCGAGTGCCCAAACTACAACCCAAAATCCACTTATGCATCGTCGGGTGCCGGATGGGTGTGGCCCATTGGGTGGCCGTGGTTGCGGTGGTAACAGCAGACTGGGTGGGACTAAAAAGTTCAATCAATCAATTCCAACTTTGCAAGATCTTTTTTTTTCCGTGAGAAGTTGAAATTGACTGATTGATTGAACCTTTTTTTTTTTTGTACATGGCGGCGGAGGCCTAAAGCAAAAAGGTTTTATAAAACCCAGCTGAAGGCCTAGGACTGGGGCGACGGCGCGTGTGCCCACAGAGAGGGCTCTGAGTGCCGCCTCTGGCACCCGTGCCATAGGTTCGCCACCACTGTACCAGAGTATTTATAACTCGGTTTCCAAGTGGAACTTTTTGAATTCATGTGCTGCCATTGCTATGAATTCCCTTGGTGCTTTAGATAAATTCCTAGCTTGTGCCTTTCTTGCCTCTACATTGGGGCTAATAGAGTTGATTTATCTTACAGGTTTGTGGTGAGAATTGTTGTAAGAAAATGCATGTGCATGCCTGCTCACAATGTAGTCTTTATACGAAATAAATTGTGATTAGCAGTACTTTCGGAATAGTGGGAGTGTAAGCAAGTTTTACTCTGCTAGTCATAGCCAATTTTAGGGGCAGTGCCCGTCTCTGTTTCTAGGCCATTGAGCCAGCACTGTCCAAAGACATTTCCGCAATCCTGCCGCAGTACAGAGCATGCGATGAAACACGGAGCACTGTTACTTTCCCACTGAAGTGGTACCTATTTATCTACTCGCTTTCGAACTGCTGTGTTGGCAAGAGCTGGGGCAAGGACAGGAGCTCACCTGTCATGTGGTATTTGGGTCTCAAACCTGGGCTGCTGGCTTTCCAGTGATAAACCCAGTGTCTTAACCACTGAGTCCTCGCACCATCCCTCTATTGGAGGAGTGGGGAGGCCAAATGTGTTGACTGCAAGAATAGAAGCATGGAGTTTGCACCACAATGTCACCATGCACTTGGTGTAGAATGCCTGTGGATTATCTTTTAAAATTGCCTGGTAGATTAGATGGAAGGAATTGTCATCAGATTTGAAGATGGAAATTTAGGCCTATTGTCTAAGCAGCAAAATAATAATAATAATCAAAATGACTTCAACAGATTTGAACATTTGACCAAATCTAGCATGGTAACTAATGATGTCAGGTCCTTCACCTGGGTAGGAAAACACCAAATTACAGGGAGAATACGGCATTCTGAGGCTGGCTTAGCGGATTCTAGAACTGAGCAAGGAGATCTGAACGTATAGCCTCTTATCTGCTTTACCATTGCAGAAAGGACTTACACATGTATGCAGTCCACCAAATGTTAGGAGAAAAATCAGATGGACATTTTATTGAACATTTCTGTGTTCCACAAGATAGATGAACCTTGAAGTAAGACATTTGTAGGCCTGCTGGTTTTGATGTGATTCCAGATGTGTTGCTCTAAGAATCTATGGAGATTCTCAATCATCCAGGTCACAATTGTTCCAAAGCTGCTTTTTTTTCCAAAAGGCAAAATGAAATTCAATGGTGAAAAAAGTAAGGTTCTACATTTAGGCAAGAAAAACCAAATGTACAGGTATAGTATAGGGGGTACCTTGCTCAATAGTAGTAACCGTGAGAGGGATCTCGGACTCCTAGTGGAAAATCATTTAAATATGAGCCAGCCGTGTGCTGCAGCTGCCAAAAAAGCCAACACAGTGCTAGGCTGCATTAACAGAGGGATAGAATCAAGATCACGTGAAGTATTAATACCACTTTACAATGCCTTGGTAAGGCCACACTTGGAATACTGCATCCAGTTTTGGTCACCATGATGTAAAAAAGATGTTGAGACTCTAGAAANACTGGAAGTTTTTAAGAAGAAACTGGACAGCCATTTGTCCAAAATGGTATAGGGTTTCCTGCCTGAGCAGGGGGTTGGACTAGATGACCTCCAAGGTCCCTTCCAACTTTATTATTATTATTATTATTATTATTATTATTATTATTATTATTATTATTATTATTATTATTATTATTATTATTATTATTATTATTATTATATCCTGCTTCTTCCTTGTGCATAGTATATATAAAGATACGGAAGTATATTTCCATACATTTCTTTACTTTTTCTCACTGTGAGCACCATCCAGGAGTAGAAAATAAAGTAATTTCAACCATGATTTCTTGCTATATTTTAATAAAATCCAGCACTCCAAGAAAAGGGGTGATACAAATCTGCTCTAAGAGTATCCACCCAAAAAAAAGGTACATGTAACAATCTTGAAATTATTTTTCATTTGCCTTCACGTTAATTTTCACTGTGATGGTAATTATATACTGCTGCTCTTGCTTCTACTAGCAAGCATTTGTGAATTTTGTAAACGTATTCCTAAATCTTCAGAATTTATTTTCCTTCTCAATTCCTAGATGTCTTTCTGAAGTGCAGCTCTATAATGTGCAAAGATTATTTGAATTCCTTCTGGTCTCTGGGTGTATAATCCTGACTTTATAATGGGCAGTAGAACATTTGTGTTGAGATCACCGGTACGCTGTGACATACCATTAGAATTTGTCCAAAATTATCCCATGAGCTGAATGGAGGCTCAAGTCTGAATTTTCCTAGTTCTTCCTAAATGCAAAAGTTCTGATCACAGGCATGCCTCTTAAAGGCCAGTGTTTACCTCTAGAAGACCCTCTGAAATTTTATTTTCCCCAGGATAAAATTTGCATTCTGACTGCCATCCACAGATATTCAATTTATATTGAGACCTTGGCTAATCTTTTGTCTATTGTACCCTTTTATAGACATCTATATGAGCTTCTCACAAGGGAATAGAAATATAACCAGCACAATCATGTTCTTTTCGCTTGCATTTGACACTTTGGAAACTCTTTTGAGGCAGATCATACATCTTGGCTAAAGACTTAGTTCCATAAAAGGGGAAGTGATCCCTATTGGCCCAGATGGTGTGATGTCACAGAATGTTTACTAATCTCTCACTTGTGGTGGGGATACTCACAAAGACTAGCTTTGAGAACTGGGAGTGACCTCAGCTGACAAAATATCTGCAAGTCTTAGAGACAGAAAAAGCAGCCAGGTTTTTGTTAGATATTTTTAGGAAAGTCTTGGCTGAAAAGCTGCACGTTGAGTCCCTGCTCAAAGCTGTAATTGCTTTTCTTCCCTCTGGCTTTGCTTTATGTTCCAGGGTGAATCGGTTATAAATTAGATACTTGATGTGATTTAGGTCTTGACACTCTCAAGAATTCCGCTTCCTGTAAATAAGTGTGAATTCAGCAGTATTCCACTCAAAATGAAAAAGGCTTCAGATTTTTGTGGAGTAAAAATGATCTCCGTGGATGTGTGTTTGAATTATGTGTAGGTTATCCTTTTTCGATGGGTCTTTATGGCTGATAGGAACCCAGGACATCCACAAACAATGCCTTGGTTCAGAGGTACTGCAAGCACAGGCTGATGGAGAGAAGGATATGGATGATGTCCTGAATCTCAGAAGGCTAAGGTGGAAAGTGACAAAATGTAAGCCTGGGGGCTGAGCCCTCTTTTCAGAGGTTGCACCAGAGCACATTGCTAAGCTGCAATGTCCTGTTAAATCTCCATAAAGGCCTGAAAAACTAGAGTATGTGTAATCTTGCTATAAATTGTAATAAAAATTATTCGGTAGACACGGTATTATGGCCATTAAGTTCACGGCCGTTGCTGCTGTGTACATAAAGTTTTATGGAATAAATTGAGCGTTTTTTTCTCCCCATTCTGAAGCAAGCTGCTTTTGATTTAAACTTTGATTGGTGATTGTCAACCATTTTCCTAAGAGCAAGATCATTCATCATGACATTCAGTAAGAAAAAAAGAAGAAGAAGAAGGAGAAAAAGAAGGAGGAGGAGGAGGAGGAGGAGGAGGAGGAGGAGGAGGAGGAGGGAAGGGAAGAAAGCTCTGAGTATTTTCTCCATGTTGAAGCGCAAAGAAAAGCTGCACACATTTTTCGGCTATAAGAAGATCAGAGTCAGAATCAAAATAGAGCTGGAAGGGACCTTGGAGTTTTTCTAGTTCAGTGGTGGCAAATCTATGGCACACGTGCCAGGGGTGGCACTCAGAGCCCTCTCTGTGGGCATGCATGCCGTCGCCCCAGCCTCACCTTCCCCTGCAGTCCCTTCTCACCAGCAGCCCCCCTGGAGGATAGTCGCCCCCGAGCACAGCCTGTGCAGAGCAGTGCAGCCAAGGACATGGCAGCCGGGCAGTGGGGATAAGACACCTCCCTTGTGCCCTGTCGCCCGCAGATGATGCTGCGGGGTGCGGATGGAGGGCATGGCTGCCATGGTGCTGCTGGCCCGCCTGGGCGATCTGCTGCTGCGGGCCATGGAGGCAGTGGATGGCCCTGTGGGTGGGTGGGGGGCGGAGAGGGGGCAGGGGCGG